CACCGAAAATAGTGACTAACACCATCTGTGTCCGTGCAGCCAAACCTCTTACAATTAGGTTGATAGAGAGTCGGTAATTCAAAGCACCACTTACATTTTTTTATTGTCAGAATGACTATATGGGGCTTCGGGGGCCCCGGTCTGGTTTGTCCCAAATCTCTGGTGGAAGCCAGCATGCTGGCTGAAGGTGAGAAGCTAAGGCCACAGCGGGGCCCTGGTCGCTGGCTGCGGGTGTGCACTGCGCTCCGGTTAAGGTGCCCAGGGACCAGGTGCTCGTCTCAGTGCTGCGTCTTCTTGCTGTGGGACCTGGGGTGCGCGGCTCAACCATTCTGAGCCCTCTATCTCCCGCCAGTAAAATGGTGTTAATGTAGGTGCCTGCCTCAGAACGTTACTGTGAGGCTTCAAAGAGAACATGCTGAGAGCTGACGTTTGATGCACTGGCCTCCTGCCAGACGTCCGCTGAGCTCTCTGTACACATTCCCTCACGTGAGCCCCATAGTCTGCTCTGAGGTGGGCACTGTGATTATTCCCACTTTACAGATGAGGAAATGGAGGCTTGGAAGGGCTAAAGCACCTAAGTTATACTAGCGAGGTTTGCTAGGCAGTGGCAGAGCTGTCCACCCTGAGGTGTGGGTATGCTCCAGGCCTTAATGATGGTGCTACTCCGTGGCAGAAATTGAGGGGTGTCTCCTTTTCTGTTCTCTGTTCCTCCCGCTCAAGCCTCTGCAGCTCCCGCCTGGCCTCCTCTCAGAACTCAGCCGCAGGAAGCCTGGCGCCGGACCAACTGATGGGTTTACATGGGGTGGGTGGAGGAGAAGGCAGGGGCTGTGGCCGGCTGGCCCTGAGCCACCCGGGAAGGGGCCGCGGCCGCAAGGTGCTGGGAAGGCAGAAGAGGCTGGCGCTTGTCACTTACTAATTCGGGCTCCTGTGCTTCCCAGACATGCGAGAGAAGCTGGCTGACAGGTGTCAGCCCCCGAGGAGGTGGGGCCCTGACTCCATGACCAGGCCTTGCAAGGCTTAGTTCCTCTGGCCAGATGCTGCCCTGCCCTGTGGCCCCCCAAACCCGGGGAAGGGACAAGGGTGCCACTGAAGCCCCAGGGATCTGAGGCTGGAGACCCCAGGACTCTGTCAGCTTGCCTGTCCCTCCTTCTTCCTGGACTGGCCCCTCCTCCCCTGGTCTGGCAAAGCTGCCTGTCCTTTCTCCTCCTGGCAGCTCTTCCGTCCATTTCCCAGAGGGCCGAAAGTCCCGGGAGAGTGGGGAGCACGGGGCCACACACCCTGCGTGGCTTCTGGTCGGGTCACCTCCCACGCTCCCTGGGTTTTGTGAAGAAGCTCTGGGAGGACCTTCAGCCTGGCCCCAGGGAGGGGCGTCCACACGGGAGCCAGGCCCACCCTGAGGTCACTGTCCACGCTTAACTGGTGTACGGACGAGGAGGCTGAGATGCAGGGGGGACACTGTGCAGCTGGGACCCTCCATTCAGGCCTGCAGTGAGGTCAGGGCTCATGCTGGGAGAGGGGTGGGAGCAGGGGCTGGGGAGGAAGCTGAGTTAGACATACGGGCAAGATCGGTTTTAGCATTTTGTACAAAACCGTGTTCGAAATGGATTACAGGAGGGTGAGGGGCTACCTCAGGAGACTGGAGGAGAGGAAACCAAACGAGGTTCTGACAGGTCAGCGCCAGGGCTGCTGGAGGCAGCCTCGTAGGTTACTCACCTCATGACAACTGAGGCGGCCAGGAGCCAGTGTACACCTGCGGGCTGCATCCCTGGAGAGGGGACACTGCGTCCCCATTCGCACAAAGGGCACATTTGGGCGGTGGGGGTGTGTTGGGTAAGGGCAGGGACAGGGTTAGAGTAGGGCTAAGAGGAGGGATGGTGCTAGGACTAGGACTGGGCAGAAGATAAGGAGGGGAGCGACCCTGTTTTAGGGCGGCCTGACGGCGCCCTGGCTGGAGGTTAGACCTGCCCCTTACCACACCCCTCTTCTCTCTGGGCTCCGTTTCCTCTGGGCACAATGCCAGCACTGGACAGTCTTCCCGCTCTGCCGTCCTGTGATCCTCTCTGCAAGTTCAGAGCTGGCTGTTGAGAAGGCCAGGCCCTGGTAGAGCCGATTCTGGTCAGGGGCGCATGAGGCTCTGCCTCAGGGCTGTCACTCCCTGGGGACCCCGGGCCAGGGCCTCTTCTCACCGAGCCTCCCAAGCCCACCATTGTCCTGGCTGGCCCCACGCACAGCCTGAACCACAAAACTGGGGGGCCCAGCGAGGCAGTGCAGAGTGTATTAGCTTCTTATTGCTTCTGTGACAGACCACCACAAACTTAGTGATTCAAAACACCAGCGGTACCTTACATTTCTGGAGGTTGGAAGTCCAAAATCAGCTCCGCCAGGCTGACGGACACGGTGTCAGCCTGCCTGTTTCCCTCTGGCGGCCCTGTGGGGAGACTTCCTCTCCCTCCCCAGTTCTGGAAGGTGCCCTCTCTCCTTGGCTTATGGGCCCTCCCTCCGATGTCAGAGCCAATGGCATAGAATCTTCTCCCTGACCTCTGCCTCCCCCGTCCCACCTCCTCCCCATGGTCCTCATGGACCTAAGGATCCCTGTGATTGGCCTGCATGGATAATCCAGGGTAACTCTCCTGACTCAAGCTCCTTCATTCAAGTAGACTTGGAAAGTCCATTTTGTCATACAAGGTAACACCTTCACATTTCCATTAGGACTTGGGCATTTTAGGGGCCATCATCCAGCGAACCAGGGGGAGCTCTGCCTGGGGCGCTGGCAGGGCCAGAAGCCCTGTTTCTGGGTCTGGTCTGGGGAGGGTCCTCCTAGGCCAGGGCACCATCTGTGCCAGACACAGCCCCATAGCTCCGGGAACAGCTGTTCCTGCTTCTCAGGCAGAGTGGGAGGTGGGTGACCTGGCACCTGGGCAGAGGTGCCTTGAGAAGGGGGTGACCTTTTTACGAGGACAACTTAAAGAGGGCAGAAGAAAGGTGACAGTGGCAGAATGGGGCTAAGGGCCTGTCATGTCCAGCAGTGGCCCCTCTGCTGGGTTTGAGCCTCCACCCAGAGATCACTGGGCCTGCAGGGGGACTCCGGGGGTCTCTAGAAGCACTCCCACAGGTGCATGGACCACAGGGCATAATGGCCCCAGGTCTGAGGGCCAGCTTTGAGCAGACAGCAGGAGAGGGGCCCTGGAGAAGGCGGCATGCCCAGGGCAAAGCCATTCCTTCCCCGCGTAGCCGAGCTGGGCTGCAGGCAGGGTGGAGCTAAGGGTGGGCAGCTAGACGCGGGATGTGCTGTGGGCGGCCAGTGTGGATGGAATCGGGGCTCTGGGGTCTGGGATGAGGGATCTGATCTGGGCCCCCCGTGCCCCAGGAGAACCGGAGGATGAAAGACCCCTTGGAGTCTGGGTCCCCGTGGCCCCCGCTGAGAGGAGGCCCCCTGGGCAGACTGCATTCACCCTGTCTGGGGCTGAACACCTGATCGCCTACATTTTAGGTTGTTTTGACTTTCTTTTGGTCTTCTGTTCGTCACTCTGCTGTTTCTTCTTTCCCAAAAGCAGGAGAATGCATGCAGATAATTCAGTTTTTGGTGTGCACATTAAGGTATAGTTCTTAAGGTATAGTGCACATTAAGAAAGTTCTTGTATAAATTATGAACCTCAGAAGCCGATGTGATAAAGTCCAGGGGACTCATCCCCCGCCCTCAAGTTCCTTCTCTGAGACCGAGCTCGTCCTCGGCCGGTGCTGGCCTTCACTGTGCATCCCGGCCCTCCACCTGGGATCCTCCACCCCCAAACCCCATAACTTCCCAGACCGTGTCCTTTCTCCCTGGCATCTTTCCAGCACAGAGGCTTCTCAAGGTTGACCTAACCAGAGTCAAATTAGGGCAGCCTGGACCCATTGGGGCCAGAACAGCAGTGGCCAGAGGGCAGGGCCTTTACCCCTCTGGGGCACTGGGGGTGTGTCTCCTGAGGAAGCCTCTGTCCACCGGCACCCCCACCAAACAGGGAGCCTGGGAGGGCTCCCTAACCTGCTGCTGTGTGCCAGGCCTCTCCCTGGCCTCCAAGAGGGGTCAGTACCCTGCTTGTCCTGCCCCCACCTGGGATCTCAGCCCATGAGATGAATGACAATAATAGCTGCAGGATTAACATAGCGGCATTGTCTTTCTCTGACTATAGGGTGGGTATTATGTGTCCATCAACTGTCCTAAAAATACGCAGTGAACAGGTGCAGCCCCTACGGCACCAGCCCCCTGGATTCTGGCTGGAGACAAGGAACAGGGCAGGGCAAAAGGTGAGCTGGCCTCACTTGTCGCAGACCTGGGACATGGGATGTGGTTGGGAACCTGGGGTCCATCTGAAGAGGGCTGCGGAGTGTCTGCAGATGCTCAGACTCCCGTGAGCATAAAGGCCCCTGCTGCTGCCCACATGTCGGCTCTGCCCCAGGAATGCTCACTGGAGCCCACCTGAAGCATGGTCCACGTTACCCCGCACGTGCGGGCACATTCCTAGCACATGAAGATTGGAGCCACCCAAGAGTCCCCAAAGTAGAGTCTTTAGCTCTCTCAGGCTTTTGGTGCCTGAGCTCAGGGGCCTAATTTCCTTGTAAGAGATGTGAGTCAGCCAGGCAGTTAGTTCCCTTTCCCCAGTGCATGCTGGTCCCCGGTCCTACTAGTGCACCTCCAGGGGACGGCACTTGCTCTGCCTCAGCCCCTGCCCTGCTTTCCCTGGTCTGGCTGTTCGTTCGCTCCCTTTGGCTTCAGTCCCCTGAGGTGGGGGCTGGCTTCACTCAGTCGGCGGCCTGTGTGCACAGGGTCTGCGTGAGCCCACGTGCATGTATCCCTCTTGAGCATGTATCCCTCTTCCCGCCTGTATCCCTCTTGAGCGTGCTTTGGTGTGTCTGCTCTGGGAGGGCTGTGCTGGGGGGAGGGCCAGTGGGTCTGTTCTATTTTTACTGGCCAGTTGCTGTTGACCATAGTTTTCATAGCCTCCCCTCTGCTCTTGCCCCCTCAGTCTGCAGGCAGCTGGGAGACACAGACCAGACCAGCCCCCAGAGACTGAACAAGGTAAGGGTCTGCAGCCCAGACCTTTCTGTCTAGGTTGAGTCCAGACAGAAAGCAGGGCTTGCGTTTCAGGAGACAACCAGCCAGGGCTTGGAGGGGGAAGGCGTTTCTTACCTGTGCAGTTGGGTTTGTTGGTGGGACAGCCCTAAAACGCCCCCAGAGCCGTGTGCCCTGTAGGGTGGCATTTCTCCTGCAGCACTGTTATTGGGGTGACACTCTCCTGCCCATTTGCAGGCAAAGATCCATGAGCAGAATTCTCCGTAAGGTTGTGGAGGGGCCCTGGGCAGAGCCTAGTGGATGTTTTCACACTGGGCTGCCCAGCAGGTCCCAGGAGGGAGAGGGCCCCCCCCGGGGAGGGTGTGGCATTTGGGGTCAGAGAGCAGCAGCAGTGGGGCTACCTCTAGGAGTTTAGGGTTCTGTAAGCAATGAAGGTGAGGGATGCCTCCAGCGGGAGAGAGAGGAGGGGACCTGGGGGAGCCTAGAGGGCAGAGCCCAGCCCTGCTTGAGGAAACTGTCTCGCCTCTTTGTTCTTTGTTTTTGGGGGATGCATGTAGCTCCCTTTGCCCACCTATCTGGCCAGTAGGATGAGGGCAGGTGAGGGCAGGCTGCCAACCCTGATCAGCCAGGGGCCAACCCCTCCCAGTAGTTCGTGGGGCTCCTGGGGGAAGGCAGATGGTGACAGCATTTGGGGCAGAGGCACAAGTATCTGAACATATGGTGGGGGGCACTTCTACAGTGGGAGCCATGGCTGGGGTGAGCGTGGGGGGCTCTCTGACTGAGGTGAGGCTACGGCAGCCCCTGCCACCACGCTTGGGAGACAGTCGCACAGCTGTTCTGAGATCCGGCTCTCCTGCTCGGAGCTCGAGTGGGTCGGTGTGCAGCCCACAGCCACCAGTCAGCCAGGGAGGACCAGGGTGCCCTTGAACTGGGGCCCAGGGTCGGGGTGGGCAGCAGGGGGAAGAACATGAGCCGAACTAGAAATCTATGACCCTGATTATCAGGTGCACAAGAAACCAGCTCCTGTTCCCTGAACACACGCACACACACACTCGCAGTCACACACTCAGCCTGACTCTCCCAGTCCAGCTGATACTCTGTTCCATCCCGGGGCCTTGGGGGAAGGAAGGCTCAGCTCTGAGACAGTCGCCGCAGCCCTTTGTCCCCTCCCTCCAACTGCGGATTTTCTAGTTATCTCCCTTCTAGCTGCTGGGGGAGGTGGAAGCTGGCCGGCAGCCTCACATGTGCTGTTATCTACATCCTGGCTTCCTATCGGGTTCCTGTTTCTTTTCCACGGGACCTGTCAAGGGGTCCCATGTGGCGGGTATCAGAGCAAAGGCTGGGGACCCCTTGGCCTGGCATTTGTCAGTGGGGTAGGCTGGGGGGGGCTGGCCCTGGAGCTTGGCAGGGGCCCTTACGCTGGGGACGCTGAGCTCCCCAAGGAAGGTGTGAACAAGGCCAAATGCCCACCAAGGGGAGGCGCATCCCCACTCAGCCGAGGCCTGGGGCCCGCTGCAGGCTGGCACTTCGAAGGGCCATCATGATGGACAGATGGACCTGGGGATAGCTCTTCACCAGCTAGTTTTTCTTTTTGGACTTTCTCAGTGTCTTTGGAGGTGTGGAGCCCTTAGAATAAACAGCTGGTGATAAAATCTAATTTCAGCTGAGCATCTCTGGAATTTATAGATTGGCCCCTACCTCTCCCTCTGTGCCGCAGGGTGACAGCTGAGACTCTGGGGTCACACTCCCTCTCCCTTCCCTTCAGGCCTCACCATCCCCTGGTGGCAGAGGCCCCCAGAGGCTTTCTGATGGACAGGGTGGGCGAGGTGGCCAAGCCATGCTCATGGGGTGGGGAGGGGGCTTCATGTGCACAAAGGGAAAGGACAGAATTAAGGCCGAGGCGGGAGGTGGCTCTGGAATGAAATTATGGGGCGCCACTTAGCAAGTGTCTTTCAGATTCTGCCCTCCCCCACTCCAGACCAGGTTCTTGGACCAAGTCCAGGCTCCTGATTACACACTGGTCTCCCCATCCTTCACCTCATAGTCCAGCCCAGGATCCCTGCCCTGCCTTGCACACCTGCTCCCACACCAGTTGTCCCTCTCCTTCCCTGACCTTTTGTGCACTGCCCACCTCCCAATCGGAATGCTCTTTGTCCAGTGCTGGCAAGTCTGGCTTTGGAACACCCGCCTCTGCAGCCCAAAGGACCCCCCCTTCCCCGCCCTGGCCTGGGCCCCCAGCTGTCAGGACCAAAGGGAGCTCCAGCGTCCCCTGCCTGGAGGTTTCAATCTGCGCTCCGGGGCCAGGGGTCCTCACGGAGGACCCCAGGGCTCCTGGGCGCCCCCTTCAGCCAGTGCCATCCGCTCTTTTTGATTGAATTCTCTTGGCTTCCAAGTAAAATTTGATTTGAACAAAGGGTTCAAGAGTTAAATATTAAGTGGAAAACAACTTATTTAACCTCCTAATTTTGCAGAGAGAAAACTGGCCTAGAGAGGGTCTGGGTAAAGATTAGAGAGAACACAGGGCTTCCTCTGCCTTCTGGCTCAAGCCTATCCATGCAGCGCCTCCTCACTGCCCTACCTTGGGGGTGCCAGGCACTTTGCCATCTATGGAAATAGCGCCCCCTGGGCACAGTTACGTTGCATAGTGTGTGAATGGCGCCCCCTGGTGTTGTGTAATATGGTGGCTACCTGCATTCTCTCTTCCCTGTACGCCACTCGTCTTCCAGATTCTTCCCCTCTCTGAGACCTTCGGTGACTGCCCTACGTCACAGGACAAAGCCTAAACACAGCCTGCTGTTCATGACCCCATGATTTCCCTCACTTTCCAAACATATTTTATACAGACTCCATTCTTTTCCCCACAGGGGTTGGCAAGCTTTTTCAAGAAAGAACTAGATAGTAAATATGTTAAGCTTTGCAGGTCACATAGGTTGTGTCACATATTCATTGTTTTATAAGCCTTTAAGCAAAAAGAGGCTGGGGCCAGATTTGGCCTGTGGACTGTGGTTTGCAAACCCCTGCCCCACACACCCACCCCACAGAGCCACTTGGGTTCTTGTATTGCTTCTTTGCTTTAATGCCATTTCTCTCTCCCATGAGTGAATGAATAAATGAAAAAGCATAAATGGAGAAGGACCTATCCCTTCCTGACCCACTGGAATCCCTTGTGTCGGATTTCTTCTTGTTGTCTGCCTCTCCCAGGCTGAGCTGCTGACACAAGGCCCTGCTGGATGAGGCAGGAGGTACGGCCTCTCTCATTAATCATGTCTCTGTCCCCCAGGTGCTGCCCCACCACCACCATGCCGGAACTGTAAGTGTCCCCACCCCATCCAGGGCTTCGGGAGGGCGAGTCCTCTGCTGTTGACATCAGCCCCGTAATTGAGGCACGTCTGTTCAGTGCCTGAAGCACTTCCCTGTGAGACCAGATCCAAAAACGGGAATGGTCCTGAGTGCCTGGGTCCCCAGGGTCCCCACAGGTCCCCGCCTTGGAGCGGAGCACACCCCCCCAGGCTGCCTGGGGAAGACCACTGTGGTCTGTTCCAGAGCCGGTCTGTCTGCACTGACCAAGCGAATCACATAGGCCGGGTCATGATTTAACACTGGCCCAGCAGATGCACAAAGCTTTGGGAATTTCCCCCGGAGCCCAGGGCTGGGAGGTCCCACACTGCTGGAGTGATATGTGCCGGCTTCCCTGGTCTCCCACCACTCCTCCCCAACGTACAATGGCCAGTATCTCCCAGCAAACTCTGCCAGCAGCCCAAAAAGCCTTTGGGTTTATTTCATTCTGCCGGAACACTTGAAGTGGTCCCCCCGCCTGAAGCCCGGTTTCTTTTGGCGCTCTCTCGTGGCCCCGCCTCCCCGGCCCCAGCTGTCCTCAAAGGTCTGCTGCTACAGGTGTAATACACATTGTTCACCCTCAGTCTGTCTTTTGCTCTCTCCCCTGGCCTCTTCTGACTCTTCTGATGGATACTTGAAGTGAGGTGAGTGAGACTGGGTCATCTCCGTGCTGGACGGGCCTTCAGACTGCTGGAGGTGGGGTGGCACTGAGCAGAGAGGAGAGAGCAGGGTCAGGGCCCCGGGGGAGGGGTGGCCAGTGGCTGAGCAAATTCCCAGGAGAACAGTAACCCTGGGTAAAGGTTGTGGACACAGGTCTTCTCTGGGCCCAGGGAGTTGGTGCCCCAGTGCACAGTGACCTGGAAGGAGGTTTTACAGCTGGGACCACAGCAGAGCTGGTGTGGCCCTGCACCCGCTCCTCGCTCTGCACCCCCACTGAGCCCTGAGGAAGGCCTCCCTCACCCGCTCAGAGCTTGTCCAGTACGGGTACCCTCCTGCTCCCTGCAGAACCTGTCCTGTGCAAAGCCACATTGGACGGCTATCAGGCGACTGCCATAGGGTCGCTCCACCCCTGCCCGGAGACTGGACGTTGAAAAGGAACATGGAAGTGTCCTTAGAGTCCCCTCAGGTCCTAGGTGACCCTGGTCCTGATACAGTCCCCGATTTATTCAGGCTGCTGAGCACATAGCCTGGGTACAGCCAGGGAGGGGACTGTCGGGACGGGGCTGTGGACTCAGGCCTGGCAAGGGGGAAGTTAGCAGCTTGGATGGAGGTGACCCTTGGCACAGAGATTCAGAATCAGACAAGTCACTTTCCAATAGCCACGTGGATTTCTAAGTTTTGCTGAGGCTCATACAAGAGTTCCCTTGACTGATGGTCAAATGAGGTGGCCCATGAGCTCACCACCATTGCGGTGGGGAGACAATACTGCAAGGAACCACTTGTCATGGGCACGTTAGGGTGTGTGAACCATGTTAATGTTCATGGCAATCAGCCATTTTTCCCGTAATTACACTTATCTGAAATAGCAAAACCTTAGGCTTTAGGAGAGAAAAGACAAACCAGCCACTCCGAATGGTCAGATTAGAAGCCGCACGTTCCACGCACTAAAGGCCATTCATTTTCTCCTGTGAGAACTCCCTCCAAGCCTCCTCACCTCTGCGTGACACACCAGAAAACCAAAGAGAGCTGTGTTTTCCCAGCACACGGCACAACCCAAGTAGATACGGACTCACGGCAGCAATGAGAAGCCACACCGTAGGGGCAAAGAGACGCACAAGTGTTCGAAGACATCACAGTCGCATTAGTTAGAGGCTGAGCAGCCTTCCTCCCCATCCCCTCCCTGAGGGAATGCTGCCCCAGGGCTGACTTATTAGAATAGCAAGAATCTGTCAAGTATTTTTAATGAAAAGAGAAATTAGTGTTTTTATACCTGAGAAAGATTTAAATGGATGGTGTTGGCATTAAAAAAGCTTTGGTGTCTAAAAAGGTATCCAATCTTCAGGGAATCCACGGCTTGTTTCTCTGACAGCTGATCATTAAGCTCTTGGTACATCACCACCGGGAGGAAGCACGTGCATCTCTCATGCTTCTCAAAGGGTTTGCACATCGTGGTGCCGTTTTGTCTGTAAAAACTCTGTGAACTAAGTTAGGTGGGTCTCGGCACCCTCATTTACAGATGAGGAAGGAGGTGGACCCACACAGTATCTCACAGGATTCCACCACCGGGAGAACCAGACAAGGAAGTGAGGGCTTCCGCCCCTGGGTTCAAGGCAGCTGGCTATGGCATTCTTTGAGTCTGAGGGATTAAATCACAATGATGAGCATTTAAGGGGCCTAAGGTGGGAATTCTGGGTAGTGATGGTGACCTTGGCAGGCGACCGTCCTGCCCTGGACTGGTTTCCAGTTCGGTGGCCTCTGCTTCACCACAGTCTCTCCCTCTTGCCCTCAGAGAAAATCCAAGATCACTGCCTCCCGCAAACTCCTGCTGAAGGTGAGCGTGTGCGCTGGCTCCGGGAGGGTGTCCAGGGGGAGAAGGGGGATGCGGTGCACACTCTCAGGGGTGTCGGCCGGTGTGGGAGGGTGAAGAGGAAGGAGGCCAAAGCGAGATGACGAGGGGGCAGAGGGAGGCCAGTCGGTCCTGGAGCCAGGTGGCCCGTGGGTGGGACCCGGGCACAATGGAGCCTGAGCACCTCTGGGTTCCTGAGAGGAGGCAGTGAGCAGCTTCTGGTGGGGACAGAGGGGCTCGGTTTAATTTGGTAAGAGTTTCTCTCTTTGGAGTTCTGTGGGCCCAAACACATCGGAAGGAGGCAAGAGACTGTGGGGGACAAAGCTCCGGGTCCATGAAACGCTGTGTGTGGTCCCAGGTGCCCCGTGCCCCACGCCTGTCTGTGGTTAGCATATGCACTTCCACGCTTGGGGCCTGCCTCGTTCCCATGCGTCCGGGGCCGCCTGGTGTGGGCCCTGATGGGTGTGAGAACATGCTGCCCGCAGAGGCAGAGGCCAGAGCCAGCCCGCCCGGGGTCTGCCCCGCCCTCACGCCCCGCTGCCTGGGGGGGGAACATGCGGAATGTGGGCCCCAGCTCACCAGGCTCTGTCCCACCCAGAGCCTGATGCTGGCCAAGGCCAAGGAGTGCTGGGAGCAGGAGAATGTGGAGCGCGAGGCCGAGAAGACGCGCTACCTGGCTGAGCGCATCCCCTCGCTGCAGACTCGGGGCCTGTCCCTCAGCGCCCTGCAGGTGAGCCTCGAAGGGAGGGCGGGGCTCGAGGGCTCCCTTGGGTGCCCTGGGGAGCAGGTGCCAGAGCCTGAACTAGCACGGCCCCAAGCTCTGTGATTCACAAGCGGCACCTCCTTACATAACCCCCCGGATCTCAGCTACCCTCTGAGATGTGCTGTTTGGAGACCCTTACAGGTGCAGGGAGGGGCCTCAGTGCAGAGAAGGGGCTTGCCTGGGGTGGGGCCCAGCCAGGGGCAGGGCTTCCTGTCCGGCCAGTGCCCCAGGGTGGACGGCCTGGAGCTGGGAGGGGGGCAGGCCTTGGGAAGCCCCCGTTTCTCCAGAGACTTGCCGGTCCTTGCCTCACAGGTCTTTAATGTTTTACAAATACTAGTGGCCATTTAAACGCCAGTGGAGAATGGAAGGAAAGAAACCAAAAGATCGCCTATGGCTACCTCCTGGTGGTGGCACTGCTAGCTAGCTATTTTTATTTATTCTTTTTGGTTAATGTATAGTTTTCAAGATCTGTACAAGTGACTTTTATTTATTTATTTTTTATTTTGGTATCATTAATCTACAATTACATGAGGAACATTATGTTTACTAGACTCCCCCTATCACCGAGTTCCCCCCAAACCCCATTACAGTCACTGTCCATCAGCGTAGTCAGATGCTGTAGTCACTACTTGTCTTCTCTGTGTTGCACAGCCTGCCCCTTTCCCCCACCCCCTCCATTATACATGCTAATCGTAAGGCCCCCTTTCTTTCCCTCTCCCCTCTTCCCTCCCCAGTCTCTTTCCTTTTGGTAACTGTTAGTCCATTCTTGGGTTCTGTGATTCTGCTGCTGTTTTGTTCCTTCAGTTTTTTCTTTGTTCTTATATTCCACAGATGAGTGAAAGCATTTGGTACTTTTATTATTTTTTATAATAAAAAACTTTTTAAAGAAAACAAGTATGTTCAGGAAGGAAAACAGGGATTATGCGTTGAGCTCCCAGTGGCCCAGAACCTCAGAGAGAAGGGTCCAGCAGCGTCTTCCCAGGGCACGGCTCTCCCAGCAGGGCTGGGAGAGAGCCGAGGGCTGAGGGCACCGGGCTTGGAGGCAGCAAAGGGAGGCCGGAGACTGAGTGGTTCTCCCCCCACCCCGCTTCCCCTTTCCTGCCGGCCTGTCCTGCTCCCCCAGGACCTGTGCAGGGACCTGCATGCCCAGGTGGAGGTGGTGGACGAGGAAAGATACGACATCGAGGCCAAGTGCCTCCACAACACCAGGGAGGTGAGCCCGGGCGACAGGGAGCAGCAGCTGGAGCCGCGGGCATGCCTGTCTGGGTGATGACTGGGGGAGGTGGGGTGGGCAGTGGTGGGCAGGTGCCCCATTCCAGCCCCACAGGATGTGTGCAGAGCACACACGCTGAAAAGCATGAACTTCCTTCCATCCTGCCAGACAGGCTCTTCAGTCTAACAGAAGCTGCCCTTTTTATTCCCCGACACAAATGATCATGTACCTGTTAATAACATCTTTCACGTGCATTAATCCTTTGATCCTCCCTACACACCTCTGCTTGGAGTAGGTACTATTATCTGCACTTTATAGATGGGGACACTGAGGTTCAGAGAGGTGAGGACACTTGGACTGGGTCACACAGTGGTGGTCTCTGGCCTGTAGGGGCATTAGCTTGGTCCAGCCCCTGCTGCAGTGGGGTGGGCTGAACACGGAAGGATGGGCTCCTGGTACTGTCGTCGGCTGCTTCTGGGCCCGCCTTCAAGCAGTGGGGAGGGGTGGAAGGGCCAGAAGCTACTCCCCTCCTTCCCACTGCTCCCCATCAGGAACGACAGTCTGTGGGTCACTAATCGCCCCAGAATTCCCTCCAGAGATGGCGTCATGGAAATGCCTCTGGGGTCTAGGATGGGGGTTTATCCACCCTGCTGGACAAAGGTGTGCACTCAGCAAGCAGCTTTGGAGGCTTGCCAGGCACGGACTAGTTAGAAGCAGGAGTGAGGCTGCAGCCCCACGTCCTGCGTCCACACTGCTGCCAAGCACCCTTGCCCAGAGTTCATGGGGCTGTCCCTTCTATTCCTGGCCACCACAACAGAGATCGCTGATGGCCCTTATCTGTCCATTTATTCCTTCCTTCATTTACAACACACGTGGTGGCTATTTGCAAAGTGACGAAGGTGGGGCCTGACTGCACCAGAGGGTCTGGCCTGGAGGCTGGGGAATGTGGGGTACAGTTCTGAGGGGAAGCCTAGAGGTCCAGGTCCTCAGGAGGGGGCCCTGGGGCTGCCCCCTCTCCAGTGAGCCCTTACTCCGCATCTGCAGATTAAGGATCTGAAGTTGAAGGTCATGGACCTCCGTGGGAAATTCAAGCGCCCTCCCCTGCGCCGGGTCCGGGTGTCGGCTGATGCCATGCTTCGGGCCCTGCTGGGCTCCAAGCACAAGGTGTCCATGGACCTCCGGGCCAACCTGAAGTCCGTGAAGAAGGAAGACACGGAAAAGGTGAGGACGTTTCTCCCCAGAACCTGTCCCATCAGCCTGTCACCACCCTCACATAGATCCAGGCCAGTCCAGGAGCTCCTGCTGGAGGCGACCGGCCTGTTAGAATGTTCTAGAACCCTCTGGGAGACCAGGGATGAAGTCTTATTCTGTTTTGGGGGAAAGAAGACGTGCTCCCTTCCTTCAGGCTGTTCCCAGTCTGAGGAGGACACTGGGACAAAGAAAGCCAGACCAAGTCATGGGGTAAAAACTGCACCCAGTGTGAGGAGCAGGTGGAGATTCGGGGTGAGTCACTGCTGAGGAGAGGACAGCAGACCCCAGTGGCCACGGGACCCACGAGCACAGGAAGTAGGGAGCCGAGCCCACTCACTCACTCAGCAACAAACTGCTCGAAGCTGGGTGAGCTCACAGCATGTGCGCCCAGGCCTGCTGGGCCCTGTAAGGAACGTGATGAAAGACATGGGCTCTGGCTCAAGAAGCTCCATAAAGAGAAGAAAGGGGCCAGGCAGCATGATGATGAAATGGAGAATGGGCCCAATTAGGAGTAGGAAGGCTTCTTAGAGGAGGTGGCCTTGAGCTGCTGGCATCAGCCAAGGAGGGTGGTGTGGGGCCTGGAGGTGAGGGCGGGCTGTGGTTCACTGGGGTGGGAACTGGTCCCCTCGCCCTGCCTCAGTTACCCAGAGCTCCCCTGTGGAGGCCCACCCGGACCTGTGTCCTCTCCCAGCTGTGTCCTGGACCTCACGGCTGGGTGAGGTGTCGTGAACCCCCTATCTTCTTGAAGAGGCTGATTTTCTCCATCCAGTTTCTTCTGTGCTTGGAGGGCCCTGTGCACCCTCTGGCCTGTCTGATATGGGTGTGCCCTGCCCGCAGGAGCGGCCCGTGGAGGTGGGTGACTGGAGGAAGAATGTGGAGGCCATGTCTGGGATGGAAGGCCGGAAGAAGATGTTTGATGCCGCCAAGTCTCCGACCACTCAGTAGAGGTACTGAGAGACCCCCTCCCGTCTTTCCAGGCCCACCAGAGTCTAAGGGATAATGGGGGCTCCAGGACAAGGGCTGGTGGGCTGGGCCCCATGTGGTACAGGGAGAAAGGTCCCTGTGACAGTCAGCTCTCGGGGGCTCAGCCCGGCTCCAGCACCCTGAGACCTTGGACAGGTCGTTTCTCCTTTGGGGCACTTTTGTTCCCCTCATAAAATTGGGGGTTGTATTGTATCAGTGGTTCCTGAAGTATGGTCTTGGGATGAGCAGTATCAGCACCAGCTGGGGTACCACCCTTGGCCCCCCAAGTTGGAAACTCTGGGTGGGGCTGGTCCTCTAGGTAGTTCTGATGCAAGAGTCTGAGAACCACCGGGTCCGATGACCCCTGAGGGTCCTCTAGCCCTGACTTTCTGCAAGTCTGAGCTGTTCGAAATACCTCCTGGTGATGTCGCAAAGCACCCAGGACTCACAGTCCCTGGTCCCAGGGGGTTCCCTGCAGAGAAGACAAGACCATTGACTTGGAGGCAATGGCTGGAGAAAGCAGCCAAATCAAGACAGGAGTGCCCAGGGGATGTGCAGTAGGGCACAGGCCTGGCACAAGCTATCCGAGAAGGCTTTCTAGAGGAGTGAGTGGTGGGAACATTAGTAGATTTGGGGAAGAGCATTGTTAGAGGCTGAGGGAGCTGAGTGCAGGGGTGGAATGAACCAGTCGTGGAGGATGGCGAGGCCAGGAAGTTCCAGGAGCCTTGGTGTGCAGAAGCAGCAGGAAGGGTTTGGGTGGGGAGGGAACGTGCAGCCCGGCTAAGAAGCTGAGGTTTCTCAAGGGCCTGTGGACGATGGTCCAGCCCGGGTTGTGCTGGGGACGAGAAGTCCTGGGGGCTGTATGTGTCGTGCGTAAGTCAGGGGTTCACAAGCTGCGCACAGGTTCCCGGGAACTGACGGCTTCCACCCCTGTCCCCACAGGCCAGCTTGCCACGCTGTGCTCTGGACTCCCGCCTCACGCCTCCCCCTCCAGCCAGCTGACCCACCTCTCTGCGTCTGCCTGCATTTCCAGAGTGCCTCCCTTTGCTCTCACCTTTCCCCTTTAGCCCGAGTGTCCTCCTCTCGGGACACACGGGAGGAGAAACACCAATATCTGAAGACCTCACCCTAGCAGGTGGGCACCTGGTTCCCCAGCCAGCCACCCTCTGCTCCGTGCTGCGTCCCTCCACTGCGGCTGGGACATGTACAGTGTACCAGGCGTCACAGCCCCTCCATTAAAAAACCCAGTCCACGGTCATTTCTGCAGCTCTGGCCGCGCACGCTCAGAAGGGCAGACAGGGAGGCTGTGGAGGGGGCTGGGCTGGGCTCCAGGGGGCACTCGGGATCAGGAGGTAGGGCTAAGGGACAGGCAGCTGCCTGCACTGGGACCCCCTCTGCCCAGACCCAGTGACGTCACACAGCGCTCCCTCACTACCTAGGACGTTCAGCTCCAAGCCCTGATCTCTGGGGCCGTCCCCACGTCACCCGGGACTCCAGCCGTTGGGAGGAGCCTCTCCGTTCAGAGCCCTTACCCCACCTGATTTCAGTCCCTTCCTTTGCAAACATGGATCCCCTCTCCCTGGTTCCCACTGGATGTGTCTGATGGTCCTGAGCTGAGAAGTCCCCTCACCTGTCCCTACAGGCACAGGGCAGGCAGTTGTTCCACACCCTGGCCCCGCAAGGAGGGACTGTACTCAGCCTGGCCACCAGGTGGCTCCCCTCCTCATCCCTGGGGCTCTCCAGCCCCTGCCCTCCCCGTCTTCATCCACCCTCTCCGTCCAGTTATTTTCCCGGCACAGTCCTGAGCTGGTCGTACCCTCCAGGACTGATTCTTTCCCTGAGGTGGGGCAGCTGGCAGTCTGTCTTGTAGGTCACACAGGTTACCGGGTCCTTTCTTCATTCCACTGACATCTGGACCCAAAGCCTGGTGAGGGATGCAATGTGGGGTCTGGGGCAGCTTCTCCCTGCCCCCCACAAATACATGTTGAGGACAGTGGCTTCTATGGAGCAGAGACTCAAGTCCTGGGAGCAGAGCCTGGCTCCTCACGCAGTGTCGCGGTGACCCCCGAGCTAAGCCTACAGAGCACGGGCTGGTGCCCCACTGGGGCCCTCGGGCTTTCTCACTGACTCAGCACTGGTCCTGGGGGCAGGGTGGTGGTGGTGAAACTGCCCGAGGAGCCCCACTTCCACCCTCTCTGTGAGTCTCTGTTCTGCCCTCCGCTCCCAGTATTATCTGCCATAAATGCCAGGAGCTGGGGCAAAGTGCAGTGCCAGCTACTCCCCTGGATGGGGTCTAGCACCCAGGGCTGCTCAGCCCGCCCACCCCCCGGGGAACGGGCGGCTCAGGATGTGTTAGGGAGGCACACGGTGCCAGCATTCTCACTGCCAATCAGTAGACAGGCAGATTGTGCGAACAGCACAGTTCCTACCGCCCACTGTACACAGAAACCCTCAGGCAGGGGCACACCTGTCTCCCGTCACACACACACACACACACACACGCACTCACACGGGGTGCAGGACCTGATGGGGGTTCCATGCCAGGGGACAGGGCTGGGCTTCACATTCAGGCAGCCACAGAAGCCCCCCCTCCGTGCCTCGGAGTGCTCCTGCTGGCTGGCCCGGCTCCAAGCGCTGCCTCCTGTCGGCCCTTCGACAGAGCCTGGGCCCAAGTTCCAAAGCCAAATCTCAGTTCTGCCAGTTGACTATTAACCTGGGGCCCTGGCAGTTTGGGGTCTCCACCCTGCCCGAGAAAGGGAGGAGGCCAGCCCCGGGCCTGACTCAGAACAAATACCTGCGCGCAGAGAGCCCTTGGGTGGAGGAGGTGGGCCAAGCGCACACCCAGAGGGAGGCCCTCTGCAAAAGGGCCACGGGCCTCCCGGAGGCCACCCCCTCTGTCTGCTTCCAGCCTGGCTAGAATGACTCCGTCTCCTGTGAGGATGGAGCAAGAGCCAGGCAGCACACCTGGGAGGAGACAGCAGACCTGACTGCGGAGGAGGGGGGCTCTTTGGGTTGGGGAGCAATCTACAGGAGGGGCTGGGAGTTTCGCTGAGCCATTATGGGGCCTGGGTGTGGGGCACGGCATCTCAGAACCAGGATGCCACCCCCGCCGCCTCTCCTGGTGTGGGGCTGCGGGGGGGGCAGCAACACACCCTAGACTGGACCTGGGAGGGCAGATCTGGGAGCTCAGCCTCCACGGAATGACGGCTCCCACCCGCAGCATACCTCTATATGCCAGGCACACTCCATACACTTTGGTTCATTCATTTAACCTTCACAACTCCACAACTATCCCCATGTTATAGAAGGGAAAACTGAGGCATAGAGAGGTTAAGGCCTGCCCTTGGTCACATAGCTAGTAAATGGAGGGACCAGAATTTACCTGTTAGAGTGTTAGAGTCCATACTCTTAGTCACTATTTTAATAATAATGATAATTATTACTATGCTAATGATTTATCAGAATTATATCATTATATTCTCACAAAACCTTGGAATTATGTTATTGCATTCTCACAAAACTTAAGAAGTAGGTACTATTGTATCAGATTTACGAATGTGGAAACAGGCTTGGAGAATTCTAGTAGTTCATCCCGTTATGGGATTTGATAGTTGCAGACTGGGGATTGGAACTGAGGTCAGCCTGCCCTTGGGGTTGCCCTTTTCTGGGATAGACTTGACTCAACAGAGCCTAACCAGCCACTTTCTAGAAGGGACACGGCCCGTGGTCAGGGGCCCTGCACATATACCTGGGGAGCTCCAATAGTCCCACCGACTGGCAAACATTCAAATGACATGCACACGGATCCCTGAGCAAAGGTGAGGTCTTTTCCCAACGTTACGCAGGGTGGGAACCAGGATGGAGAGACTGGGACAGTGTGGGGGAAGTCTGCCACACACTGACACCCAACAGCTGCCGCTGGCCATGGGCCTGGGGCGCCTCCCTCGGTGGTAGGAATGCTTGGGGCAGAATGATGTGCTGCCACCCCTGTCCTCTACCAGGTCCCTTCCCCTTGGGGTAGGATGCTGAGCCATTACCTGCCTGAAGCCCACCTTGCAGCAGGGTGAGCCAGGCAGGCCCAGAGCCCAGAGCTGCAGGGCTAAAGGGCCTGACTGAAGGAGGGAGTGAGTTAAACATTAGCCGCACTGGCCCCCCGCGAAGTGAGTCAGACTCCCCGCAGGGTGCCGGGCTGGGCAGCCAGGGGGGGCAGTTTCGTTCCAGGTGGGTGACCAAGCTACGGAAGCCTGGGACAGGTCACTGGGACCAGCGTAGGTGGCAGCTTCCTCTCCTGACCCCAGCAGGGTTCTCTCCTCAAAAATCCCCTAAGCTTGTCAGTGTGCAGGTCGTCCACTGGGGGTGTGGGGCCAGGGCATTTTCTCACTCCTAGGACAGGCTCCCAAGCTGGCCTGGGGGTCCTCTGAGGCCATGCCTGGGCAGTGTGAGCCTCCATAGCCTGTGGCATGGGCATAGGTCACTGCAGTCAGCGTCAGAGGCCGGTGAGGGAGTGACTCGCTAAAGGTCACAGAGCTTATCTGGTGAAAACAGGTCCCTGGGCCCCCAGGATACTGAGAAAACTGGAGGTGGGCAGAGGCAGAGGTCCAGTGACCTGAGCAGGTGGCCCATCTCTGGTCCCAGACCAGCACCTGCCTGGCCCCAGTGCCACCTGGCCTTCTCACTGGTAGGCCAGGCTGGGCGAGCCTGGCCCTTTGCTCAGGGTTCAGGAGAGAAGGATGGCCTCCTCTGGGTGCCAGGGCGAGGACCCACTGGGTGGAGTGTGTGCATGAGCACTCACAGCTGGTCATCCGAGGGCTGAGCCCCATGTGTGCACACAGCAGCTGGCCTGCACGTGAGTTTGACAAACGCGTGAGTGTCCCTGTCCTGACCCCAGCAGGTAGTAGTGCGCTGCTGTTTTGGGGCCCAAGTCTCCACTTTTCTGCTGTAATATGCGGAAACCAGGGCCTGTGGGGTGAAGTTTCCAAAGAGCTAAATGCATCCATCAAAAAGGGCCCTCCTTTGTTCTGAAAGCATGCGTGCCTTAATGTTAGTGCTATAGTATGACAATATCCTTTACTTACAGGTGGGAGATAGTGGGTGGTCATTGTTTCTTAAATGTTCTTACTTCACAAAATAAAAGGGTAACAACACCATTTGGGTATTCATATTTTAAAAACTATTATTAGTTTGTAAAAACCTAAAGCCAGGGACCCACTACCCCAGATTCTTTTGGGTGTGGGTCTTAGCAGCTCATTCATTTCTTTTCTGCCTCCCCCGGGAGTGGCCGAAATGGCAGTTGCTCAGGGGGGACGTGTGAATGGGAATGGACCTGAAATGTCAGGGTGTGACCTCCAGCCCTGCTGGTCTGGGGCCAGGAATCCCCCTGGACCTCTGCTCTGGCCTCTGTGGGAGAAGCTGCATAGGCAGGGTCTGGAGGGGGGGATTCCAGAGTCTGAAGCTGGTTCTGGGAGGGGAGGGGAGAGGGGACCCTTTCCTCTGTTGCTGCTAGCTGGAAAGTCTTGAAAACCCCTTGTCCATCCCCAGGGGACTCCTGGTGTGACAAGCCCCATCTCTGTGGACTCTCCCCAGAGGAAGTGACATGCTTGTGGTTTAATGTACCTAACAGTATAAGAACACAAAATGGGCTTCCACATGCCGAGCACTATGTGTGAGAACTAGGGTATCGCAAATACTTTGGAAGCTCCTGTGTGTCCTGATGTAATCATAGCCCTTCCCCTCGCAAAGGAAAACAAAATCCTCAACTTTGTGTTTATTATTGGTTCTCCTTATAACAGGTACTACATGTTTATGAATCCCTAAACAATCTACCGTTTGCTTTTGTTACATATTGTTACTTTTTTGTCAACCTGACATAAACGCATGATTTTAGCTTTTTCCCCTTTGAGGATGAGGTTGTAAACTTTATTGATGTGCTACGTTTGTCTGTAGTTCATTTTCACGACCGCGAAATGATGAAATGTTGAAAATTCTACCACTTACTCCTCCGTCTTCTTGTGGATAGACATTGGGATGGTGTCCAGACTTCTGCTACTGTAAGCAGTGCTGTATGGAGTGTCCATGCGCCTCTTTTCTGTTCCTCATGCTCACAAGTTTCTCTCCCAGGAGGGTGACAGCCTCTCCTTTGCTGGGTTGTGCCATGTGAACACTTACCAGCAAGTGTGAGGTTGCTGAAGGTCTATATCCTGGTTTTACAAGATCCTCAAGGCCAAGGGTTGGAGATGCTTAGAACCCCTCGATCTGTTTCTCCCTGACCCAGTTCCCAGTGTCACCCTCAGTGGGGCCTTGGGTCACTCAGGTTTCCTGTTCTTCTTCCCAGCAGGTTAGTGACATTCTCCTTCCCTTTGCTGAGGACCTGCTACACTAGGCATAGTGTCGAGGGGAGGCTGGGGTGAATAAGACATTCTGTCTCTTCTCAAGACACCCCTGAGATGTTGGGGAGTCAGGACATGAGCACAAATACCTTGAACACTAACCCCCTGTCCTTGGGAATCAGCCCTCATCTCTTCTGCAGTTCACCCTTGGGCCCTAAGGAAGCGTAGGCAGAGCCATGTCCTGCACTCCCATACCCAGCACCCGGCCATCAGCTGGCCAGCTCCACCCAACTTTCTTTACGATCTCACATCCTAGTGAGTAGGGGCCAGGGGTGCTGCCAGTCCTCTCACAATGCATAGCCAGCCCCCAGCCAAGAGCTGTCAGGCCCCAAATGTCAATAGTACTGAGGTTGAGAAGCCCTCGGTGGATCAAGTCACTCTCCTCCCTAAACTTCCTGCACCCTCGGCTCATCAGTGGCCCCTGTATTCACCCAGCGCCCCGCAGCTGGGGAGGTGGGAGTCACCTAGATCTCCCCTCATTCACCACCTGGAGTCAACCAACTCCATGCTGACAATTCAACCTTCCAAATCTCTTGCCAACACCTTCTCCTCTCGCTCATCCTGGCTGCCATTGCTCAGGACCCTCATTTCTCCAGTCCTTAAACACCTTTGCTTTCTGCCCCCATGTCTTTGTTTATGCTGTGTTCTGTAGCTGGGTGCCTTTATCGCCTTTTTGGCAACTGAATTCCAGTTACCCTTCAAGATCCAGCCCAGATGTTCCTTCCTCTTGAAAAATACCCCAATCCTTCCATTATAGTTAATCCCTCCTGGTGATGCAATTTCAGTTTTTATCAGTCTCTCGTGAGTGAGGTTTGGGTATGTGCACACCTGTGAATATACGTTTGCAGGTGTGAGCCACAGTGGGTGCCTCCACCACTGGAGTGTGACTGTCCTGAGGTCAGGAGCCGACTGAGCCTGCATCATCTTCGTGTCACTGACTGTCACGGCCATTTGCTGATTGTAGGAGATAGAATTATGTCTCCCCCAAAGGATATGATCAATTTCCAGCCCCTGGTACCTATGAATGTGACCTTATTGGGAAAAGGGTCTTTGCAGAAATGGGATCCTACTGGACTTCGGTGTGGGAGGGTCCTAAGCTAATGACCAATGTCTTTGTAAGAAGAGGGACATTTGGACAGAGACACAGGAATTCCATATGACCTGAAGGCAGAAATGGGAGTAACACAGGTGCCAAGCCAAGGAACTCCGAGGACAGCTGGCAGCCACCGGAGCTATAGAAGAAGCGAGGAAGATCCTCCCAGCGCCTTTGGAGGGAGCACGGCTCTGCTGACAGCTTGATCTCCAACTTCTAGCCTCCAGAACTGTGAGAAAATAAAGTTCTGCTGTTTAAGCCACCCAGTTTGTGGTACTTTGTTTCAGCAGCCCCAGGAAAGTACTACATTAGTGCAGCTCCAAGCACAGTGCCTGGCACACAGAGGTGTCCGGGAAACACACAGCGCCCGCCCTCAAGGGGCTTCTGGCAGTATAGCAGTACATGACCTACTTTCCCTTACTTCCAGGGTTGTCTGTATACCAGCCTCCCGTGTCTTTGGGTTTCTATATCCACAGAGAGGATTTTGGACTTTTAGATATGTGACTGTCCTCTGGCTTCTCGAAGTAATCCTGGAAGGGTCATGCTTCCAGTGATTCTGAGTATTTTTACTCCTAAGTTGAGGGGCCACCACCCACAAAGCATGAGAAGAACATTCCCAGGTCCCCGTGGAGACAGCGGGCTCCCCGGGAAATGCCAGGTCCTGGGTCAGAGGCTACAGGGTCATTGATTACTGCCATTCCCTCTTTGTCTCTTCCTGGAAGAGCAAACAGGGTCCAGCCTTGGCCCCTGCTCAGAACTCCCTGGGGCCCTGTCTGCTCTCACACTGCTCTGAACTGTCACCAGCATTCAGCAATGGACACATTTGATCTCCACAACCTGGAAGGAAGCAGGGCAAAGTATCAGTATTTCTACTACAGAGACGAGGACACTGTGATTTGCCCCAAATCACATGTCTCATGAACGGCGAATCAGAGCTCAAAGCCAGGTGTCCAGGCTCCCAGTCCAGCATTCATTCCTTGAACCTCATTCCTCAACTCCAGTGTAAGAAAGGAAGGCTCCCTACAGGAGGGCGTGTCTTTTTCGGAGGAGATGCCCTCGCAGTCTAGCTGTGTGTGTGTCTCAGCAGCTGGCTTGTGCTTCACTATGTGATCTCAGAGCAGGAAGGCCCTGCAGAGACCATCCGTGCCCAAGGGGGGTGAGGCCCAGCAGAACGCTGGTGGTTCCGGGTCCCGTCCGGGCATCATCGCCTCCTGCTGTCTGGGGCCGCACCTCATTCCTCTCAGGGCAGAACTGCTCTGCTGACCTTGCAGTTCTGATCCATTAGGGAAGATAAGATTCCTCAGCCTCATCTGAGGCTGGTTCCTGGGTCGAAAGCACCTAGATATAGAAAGTGCCCGCCCGCCCAGAGGTGCCTCAAGGCACTGCAAAATTCCAGCGCTAGCCTCTGTGTTCAGTCCCCCCTCCAGGCGAAAAGCTGAGCTTCCTCTGCCCTTCACACACTCTGTGCCTCCAGCCCCAAGTCCAGTGTCTGGGGGAGACAGTGCCTTTGACATTCATTGTGTTTCGGGGCTGTGGGAACTCCAGTGTTTGCTTAACTGAACCCGACTATCTCGTTTTGGGAGCAGCTGGCCTTCTACGGGGCGTGTTGTGTAGTTTTGCAGCCCCACAGAGGAAGCACCGCGCCGCTCGGGTCGTGGGCTTTAGGGGCGGTGGGCCGGCAGGTTCGGGAGCCCGGGGTGGGGACGGTGCGTCCGGGGAAGGCCCAGGTGGCGCCGGGAGCTCGAGACCCGAGATCTCCGGTCCTGCTCTGACTCTCCCGCCCGGGTTTTCTTGGCCAAGTCGGTTTCTCGGCAAGGAGCTCGGCCTGACCCCGTCCTCGGGTCCCCGCCCCACCCCCGGCACCCGCGGCCACGACGCCTGCGGGCGGAGGCGGGGGCCGGGCGCAGGGCTGGTCCGACCGGTTCTGGGCAGGAGCCCTCCCTCCGGTCCCAGGCGGCCGACCCCCCGCGCGGGGCCCGAGGTCCGGCGGTCCGCCCGGCGGCCGTCGGGCAGTCCGCGCCGCGCCGGGGCCGGAGCCGGGGTCCGCGCGGCCCGGGCGGGATGCCCCCGCGGGGCCGCCCCTGGGCGGCAGGTGGAGCGCCGGGCGGGCGCGGGGGAGGCCATGTGACCCGCCCGGGCCGGCGGGGCGGGGCGCGCAGGTGAGGCGGCGGCGGCGCGGGGCGGGAGCACACGGCCCGCGGCTCCGGCAGCATGTCCGTCGGCAGGAAGGACTGGTCGGCGCTGTCCAGGTGAGCGCGGGGAGCCGGGCCCGGGCCGGACCTCGGCCTGGCCGCTCCGCAGCGGGCGCAGAGCTGGGGCCAAGCTGGGGGACGCCCGGGGGCCAGGGTGGGTGGTACCCCCTCCTCCACAGCAGCCTTCTCCCCTTCCCTTGGGGCCTGGGGCCGCAGAGGGTCCCTGGCCGGGAGAGCCGCCCGCAGGGCCGGGGCCGGGGTGGTGTTGAGGAGTCACCGCCCAGCCTCATTTCCCGAGAGAAGCCCTCCTCGCAGTCCCGTTCCTCTAGGGAGCCGTAGGGTGGGCCGCCTTTACGGTCTGAACACAGGGGCCAGTGAATGGGACCAGAGGGAAGCAGACCCCCCAACCCCCCTTCTTTGGTGAGGCTCGAATTCTGAGCATGGCATGCTGAGGTGGTGTCTGATCTGGGTGACCTCAGAGAGGTGCTGCCCCCTCTGTGCCTCAGTCTTTGTTTGTGAGCTGGTTCCTCAAGGTTCAGGGCAGTGGGTATTTTATACCTGCCTGCCGGACATTCTGTCAAGGGTAGAGAAGTCTGGGGTGAGGGCCTTCCTGGGGGCAGGCCCTCATCGCGGCAGGCGATCCCTGGTGCCTGCTCGGATGCTACCCTGCACCTCCCCAGGAAGGGGTCACAGGAGCATCTTCACCTCCTTACTCCCCACTGTCCCATCACACACACACTTCTTGTCCTTAAGGAAACTGAGGCCCAGGCAGTAGCTCAGATCCCCATGCCTTTGATCCCCTAGGCTTTCACCAGGTAGAGATTGGCCTTTGGGCCCCTCCCAGGTGGTCGTTTAGGTACTGAGGACTTCCGTGAGGCCAGGGCTCTGCAGGTGCAGACCCGCACCCTCCCCAGGCCTTCCCCATCAAGGCAGATCTATTTTAGGTGTCCTCCCTGGCTCTGGGACCTCCTTCTCCCCCTGCCTTCTGGAGGACTCCAGAGCTTCTCTAGCACCCCGAGCACATCCTCCCCAGGGGTTGGGGTCCCCCTCCCCAGACCCTCAAGACTCCACACTCCTCTGAAGCCCAGTCCCCTGGAACTCCTTGTGGAGGGGCCCATGGGGTCTAGAGAGGGGAAAAGGTAAGCCCCAAGAGTGGAGGGACCTCGGTTCTCTGGAAAAGGAACCCAGGCTGCCACAGAGGTGGGACACACCCCAGGGAAGTTCTGTGCTGAGGGTGGGGCCGGGGGGTCAAGGCCTTGGACTCTATGTGGGCCAACTGCCCGGGTTGATGTGGGAGTGTCTTTGCTTCTGGGTGGGGGCCTGTTAGTGCCTATGGAGAGCGCCTGTATGGATGTGTGGGCACAGGTGTGGGCAACGGGTTTGCGGCCTGTGCAGTAGGAGATGTGATGTGTGTGCGGGTGGTAGCTTCTCAGGTAGCTGAGCTTGGGCCTTGGGGGTCCCAGTATGTTTGGTCCAAATGTTTATTGAAGATTTCAGTACAGGCGCTGGGTTAAAAATACAAGCAGACACCATTTTCTCAGGAGCTCACAGCCTGGTGGGATGTATGTGATTCTGTGTCTGAGAACATGCCTGGATATGTACAGGGTGTGTGTGGGGGGTGGGTGGACAGCTGGAACTTTGAAAATGCGAGCAGGGTCTGCAGCTGAGGCGGACCTGGTCTCACGTGGCTGCAGGGTGGGGCTGAGTTCCCATGGGGTGTCCAGGGTAAGTGCCAGGGCAGCCCTGGGGAACCAGTCCTGCCACAGAGCCCCTGGCCTGGCCCCTGCCTGGCCCCAACCTGCAGGGAGCCCCATGGGCACATACATCTGCTGCCAGCAGGCCCCCTGATGAGGCACCTGGAGTGGAGGACCGCTCCTGCCCTGGGTGAACAAGCCTCAGCGGGCAGGAGGGGAGGGGCTGTGAGTCACTGGGCGCCGAGCCTCCGCTGGGGAGGACTGTTCGGAGGGTGTGACCGGTATTGCCCCAGCCAGGGCCCGGCGGGGAGAGGAGGGCCAGCCTGCTGCCCATCCTTGGCATGAAGTAGAAATTCCTGTGTTCCAGCTCTGTGAGGGGGGCAGTGGTGAGCTCCTGGCTGGGTTCCCTGGTCAGTGGCCTGGTGATGGGTGAGGCTGGGCTGGGCCTGTCCGTGGGGGGTGAGGATCTGAGAGCGCCCAGGACTGAGCTGCCAGCGGTTAATCATTCCCCTGCCTGGGCCTTGAGCAGCCCCTGCACCTCCCAGTGCTGCCCAGTCCTCTCCGACACCTCTCCCTAGACTGGCAGAGCTAGAAGGGTCCTGTGACCATCCATGGTGGTCCCTCATTGCCCCTCATTGGCCAAGGGGGCCTAGGCCTGGCCCACCAAGGCCTAAGGCCACACAGCCAGTCAGAGCTGGGCCTCCCCACCCTGTGCCAGGCCTGGGCTCTCTTGTATGTCCTTTCCTTCCAAGATTTGCAAATCCTCCGTGAGCCCCAGGTCTCCCTAAGGCTTCCAGGGCAGTCCTCTCGCCCTGCCTCTACCTGAATGGGAGCAGCTGAGCCCTGGCCTGGTTTTTGAGCTGCTTTGGGTCTCCCACAGGGTTGTTCTCCTGAGGTCTTCCTCCATCTTTCCTGTGTAGCTGATGGCAGGGCTGTGCGTGCAGCAGAGAGAAGGCTAGCAGCCCCTGTGCAGTGCAGAGCCCAAGACAGGGTGTGTGTCCCCAAGTGAAGGCCAGGAGAGAGGAAAGTGAAGGCCTGGCTCTGGAGCCCGGAATGTCAGTGTGTTTGCTGCGGGGCTTCCCCGAACCTCTGCTCTCCCGGGCTGCACCGCCAGCCTGTCCTGGGGTGGGGAATCCTGCTTGGACAGAGGCCCTCCCAGGCTCTCCCAAGAACTAGGGCTCCTCTCCAGTTTAGGGCCAGCCCTCCCAGGACTTCGTTCCTGGCCCTTGGTTATGGTTAAGGGTGTGGGCTTTTGAGAGGCTGACCTAGGTTGGAATTCTTGGTTCCTTCTCCTTTGCTTCCTGTGCTGTCTTGGGAGAGAGAACCTCTATGAGCCTCAGTTTCCTCATCTGCAAACTTTCCCTGACAGGGTAGCGGTGAGGTTTAATGTCAACAGTTTTTGTAAAATGTTTGGGACGGTGCCTGGTGTTGCCACAAACACATAGTAGGGCCATCACTTCTTCCTCTGTTCCCTTACTGACGGGTTTATCATAGCTCACACATTCAATAAGTATTTGTGTGCTACTAAATGTCCAGCACAGTTCTGGAGCCCTTAATGTTCATTTACTTATTACTGAGGTTTCAACAACTGCACCTGTTGAGGTCCCTCTTGAAGGTTGACCTCTGCCCCTCCTTCAGGTCCATCCATTTCCCCATCTTTAGAGGCTGATAGCTCTTGGCTTATTGGAGATAACATTTCTTCCCCAGGGTGGCAGTGATGAAGGATTTGCGTTTTGCCAGGGCACCAGGGTTGAACGCGGCGTGTGATTCCTCAGCAGCAGGGCAGGTGACCGTGTCACCTTGAGCAAACTGTGGGGTCATGGCATAAAGCCAGCCAGCGGATGCTCAAGGACTCCTGGGCCCCACCTCCTGCAACTCCAGCCCTGGAGACCCTTCAAGGGGCTTGAGTCATTTCTGAGAAGACCAGGCTCTGACAGGTCGCACACCACAGAGGGCCTCACTGGAGGGCAAACAAACACGCTGCTTCCCTGAGGCCTGAGGGGTGTGTGTGGGAACAGGGTTGCTCAGAACCAAGGAATCCTGGCCTTTCCAACCCAGCCACGGGTGTGGTCAGGGAAGAGTAGCTGCTGACTTTGTGGGTCGTGTTCCCAGTGGAGGGTCTCTCAGCTTTGGAGGGTAAGAGCTGGTTGCAGACATGGACCAGAGCAGAGGATGCATCCAAACGAGGACAGAGCTGAAAAGATGGCCTCAGATGTAAGCCAGCTGAGGTTGGAGTTTCTAAGTCTGAACAAAGGGAGCCAAGGAGAGGTGGGCATGGGATCTGGGCTCAGAAGAGACCACCGGTTCACGGGCAGTGAAGGAATGTGGGATCAGTCTGCAAGTGTGCGTATCTCACGGGGCTCACGGGAAGGCCCAGGGGATCTTATTTAAATTCTGTGGTCTCGGCCCTGGGCCCTTGATCTGCATCCACTTATGGAGGTCGAGTAGAGACATGCCTGGAGCAGGAGGCATTGATTTTCTCACCAAGAGCTGCCCTGATGATCAGAATTGGGAGGTTCTGGAAGTTTCCCATGCAAAGGCAGCTCCTTGCCTGTGGGATGATGGGCAGGTGCTCATTTTCCAGAGGCAAAGAGATGGGCAGACTGCCTTCGAGGGGGCTCGGGACATGCTCCCCTCCCTGTTCACACTCTTCCTTATCAAGTGGAGGTTTGGAACTTGCCCCGGGAGGAGAGCCCTGCACTTCTGAAAGTGGCCTCTACACTTGGCACGCGTTCTGAGCCAGGTGCCATGCAGACGCGAGGTGCCCCACCCTGTGGTGTTTCCTCTCCCCGCAGGACAATGCCCTCACACTTTCTTTTGAAGCCTCTCGTGCCCTCTCCGCTCTTCTTATTCGCGTGTCTTTAAAAAGGAAACAAAATTTAAGATGTGTTCAGAGTGAGGAGACATCAGTGAAGAGCAAAGAAGACCGAGGCGTTCAGCCAGGGAGATGTATGGACTGGGGGGAGGACTGAGTTCCAGTACCTCTGAGGGCGAGAAGCCCCGGCAGAGTAGTGAGCACACGGGTCCCTAGTCCCGTAGAGAGAGCAGCTTGGAGACCGAAGCCAGAGCTGGACAGGAACTAGTAAGGAGACAATGGGGACCCATAAAGAGGAGCTTCTGACCACCAGCAACTCTTCTGAGAAGAAAACAAATAAATGGGACAGTAGCTAGAAAAGATGTGTATTCAGGAATGTTTTTTAAATCGAGCTTTGACCCCTGATAGTGCCAAAGGGGAGACCTTGAAGCCACTGCCCTAACTCTGGGAGGGATGAGGAAGGCCTCTTCTAGATCCTTCCAGTCACTGGGAGGCTCTGGAGAGGCCCCACCCGGCCGACCCTCGCAGCCTGCTGCTCCCTCATGCACACCTTCTCTTGGGGCTCCGAGCGAGGGAAGCCTTGCCTCCTGCTCCAACGAACCCCCTGCCCTCTGACCTCCAGGCCTGCTCCGTCCGTCCCCTCTGCCTGGACGGCCTGTCTCTCCCCTGCCCCCCCGACCCCGCTGAAGTCCTGCTCGCCCGCTGAGGTCCGGCACAGGTTCGGTCTCTTCTGTGGGCCTGTCCGGGGAACATTGGCCTGCAGTGACTCTTCTCCCCTGCGGGGCCGTTTCTGCTCTTTGACTGGGGAGTTACTGGTGGAAACGCTTCCCTTTCTCACCGGAGAGTGGGTCTCTCCCAGGCAGCCTTGTTCCGGGAAGCCCGGTTCCTGACATGGTGCTGGCCCGGCCCAGTTGGCTTTGAAATGCGCTGGCTTTTGGCAAGGGCGGGTAGATACAAGGGGAGGTGGGCGGGCCGGGAGGTGGTGGGCGGGCAGATGCAAGGGGAGGTGGGCGGGCCGGGAGGTGGTGGGC